GTTTTGTATAGTTATAGGAGTTTGTGTTGGGAGTAATAGCAATGTTGAAGATGGTAATGCAAAGGTAGAAATAGGTAAAGGTTGTTGTAGTAGTATTGAAGGTGTAGAAGACAGTGAGTTTGGTATAAATGTTGTTGAATATGGGTTTGTTAAGTTAAAAGAAACATCTTCTGTTGTATTTAATTTTAGTAGAATGTTTGAATAATACCAAATAGCTTGAAGTGGTAGGATAAAATGATTAGGTAGAGGTTTAGGTTCAGATAGAAGGTAAATATGGGCTTTACTGTAATCATTTTTAATAGAAATAGTTAAGGTATATCCACAAGCATTGCTTGGTAAGTAATCAAAACTATAAATATGTTGTAAGAAAGAAATAATTGTTTGTAGATGTGGAAGTAGTAGAAGGTGGTTATAGGCTAGGAATTTGTTATAGCATGTATGCAGTTGCATAGAGCCATAGTGTTTATTGGCAATAATAGTATTATCATGGCCAGATAAAACAGTTTTAACTAGTTGTAGATAAGTGTAATTTACAGCATTATTTTTAAGAACAGGTTTGGTATATTGTGTGTTATTAAGTATTAGAGAATATTTTAAAGGAATAGATAAAATCTATAACCAGATCAGTGTGAGATGAAGTGGTCAGATAGAGGTTCTGATTCATTTGATAAGTGTATTAAGCATTTACTGTAGTCTAGTTTAATTGATATTGCTAGTATAAAGTTATAAAGATTAAGTAGTATGTAGTTGTAAGGATGTATGTATTTAAGAAAGCAGTAAAGAGTTTGTGGATGTGGAAGTAAAAATAGTTCTTGATAGGCTAACCATTTATTATAGCATGAGTCTGGATCAACTAATATATTGTATGACAAGTCTTGTGATGTTTCCTTGAAATGTGATGATGCAATGGAATTCAAGGAGGTAGAAGGTTTTTCTGTAGATTCGATCACCATATGCTCAGCTCTCACAGCTGTAAAAGATGTCATAGCCTGCTCTGTACATTGAGTCTGGCTGTCATAAACGTGGTTCTCCACATAAATAGACTTTTCCATCTGTCTACTTATATCATTCTCTTCTAAGAATGGTTCACAAAGAGTAAAGAACATCATAATCTTAGAAGTAGTGGCTGCATTAATGTATTCTACAGAGGAATTTATTGAAAAGGAGTTTCTGTAAGGAAGAATGAGTCTTTTAGAATTAATAGTTCATAAAAATTCAGATTGAATTTATTTTGTATAATTTTTTTAGCCTCTGGATATGCTTTTTCTTGAAAGTGTTTAACAATTTCTGGAAAATTCATAGAGAGATTGTTAG